TCTAATGAGCGCCCCAGCATCGCTGCATACCAGCCCCCGGGGCTCATTAATCTCATTAGGCAATGACAAATCATCCTGGGGCTGCCCAGGCTCCCCACCCCAGACCCTTTCTCCCAGGCGTGCACAGGCCTTGAGGGGCGTGTGTCCACACAGACCCACACACAGGCGTGCACGCCCAGCCCCTGCTCCCTGGGCCTCTCCTAGGGGCTGTCTGCCGTGGGGCCGGCTCGGTCCCGGGTCTGGCGGCTTCTCGCTGTGACTGGGGCATCCAGAGCCCAGGAAAGTCTTCTGGTGGCCTGCTCCCTGCAGAATGTGGGGGATCTGGGCAGAGATGTGAAGGACCAAAGGAATCCCCGAGTGTACACCTCAACCCCATGACTGCCCCCCGAGGGCTGGGGGCTCTGGACAAGTCTAAGTGATGAGGGGCAGCCAGTATGACAGCTTGCCACTTGGAACTTTCTGAGTAGAAGGGGACAGCCGTGTACTGAGAGGCGAGCTGTCCCTGGCCCTCTTCCCGGATGACCTGCCAGGGAGCTGCACCCTGGCCCATGGGCCAGGTGAGAAGCCTGGGGCTTGAACAGGCACCCAGAAGGCAAATGACTGAGGTGGCATTCAATCCCAGCCTCTTTTTGCTCCAGGGAGGAGTTTCATCACCTCCCCCTCCACCCGAAAGGTCTTTCCTCTGGGCAACATGAGGCCAGTCCATGCAGAGGGCAACAGGTCACAAAGAAGAAGGCTTCACATGTCTGGGCCCTTCTGCACACTCCTGGGCTGGCCATGAGCTCTGCTGGACTGTTTCATGTCCTCTTGTCCGGCCTGCCTGGCTGACAAAGTTATGTCCTCCCATCCCACCCCCACTGCTCTGGAGCATGGGTCCTCCCACGGGATCATCTCAGGCACATCCCCTCCTCGCCCTCTCTGTGTCCCCTTCCCAGCCTCAGGGCCCTGCGCTGCCAAACGGGGGCCATGCAGACCTGCACCCCCCACACTTAGACTGGACCCGTTCGCAGAGGCCAAAGGGGCTCTCAGCACGGGCTGGCAGACTCCAGTCTGGAGCAGCCCAGACCTACTGTTTCAGTTCTCAGACGGGCCTCAATCCTCCCACAGGACTTGCTGCATGGACTGTGGGATGTGAGACTGCCGTGGGTTCAGCTGCCCCGGCCTGGACAGTGGAGCCTGACAGGACAGAGAGATCAGTGTTTCCTGGCACCAACTGCACGCCAGGCCACGGCGTCTCATTTGTGATGAATGGGCCCACAGTGTAGAGGTCATCTGGTCCACTGGTTCCCAACCCCAATGAGCATGAGAATCGCCCCGCATACCTTGTTAACAATTCCCAGGCCCCTGCCGACCTGATGAATTAGCATCTCTAGGACCTCTCCCTAGCCCTGGGGTAGTGAGTAGGGATTGTGATGATTAATTTCATGTGTCAGACAACAGCACCTAGTGACTTAGTCAAACACTAATCTAGGTGCTGCTCTGTAGGTATTTAGTAGATGTGGTAAACATCTACAATCAGTTGACTTTAACTAAAGAGCTGACTTTGCTAATATGGGTGGGCCTCATCCAATCAGTTGAAGGCCCTAAGGGAAAACGCTGATTTTTCCCAGAGAAGTTCTGCCTGAAGACTGTAGCTTCAGTTCCTGCCTGACTTTCCAGCCTGCTGGCTGGCCCTGCAGATTTTGGATTTGCCAGCTCCCACAATCACATGAACCATTTCCTTAAAATAAATTTCTTTATAAAGAAAGAAAAGAATTTCTTTGTATATTTATATAAGGACATACACACATATACACACACACACACGCGCGCGCACACACACACACACATCTCCTATTGGTCCTACCTCTCTGGAGAAGCCTGCCTGATACAGTGGTGACCAGCCAGGCTGGATACCCTGGGGTCCTCCAGCCTCTGCACTACCTCTCCATCCCTGGGAGGCACGGGCACCTGCTGAACTTGGCATCCCCTCTGCCCAGAGGCCTCCCCTCCTCTGCAATCCTGGTTGCATCACTGGGTTTTCTGCTCTTTTTCTTCTCCTGCAGGACTGTGGGTCTCTCTCTCTCGCACTCACACACGCACATGCACACATCCAAGGATCGTGGAATTTTAAGTCCATAATGTGCTTTACAAATCACCCTGTCCCCTGACTTTTTACAGATGAAGAAACTGAGGCCCCAAAGTGAGGCATCCCTCTGATTCCATCTCCCATTACCTACCGTCTTGCCGCCCTTCTTCTGTGCCTCAAACTCACCAGGCAGACTGGCCCCCAGGGTCCTCCCAACGGCTCCCTGACCTGCCAGGTTCCTCCCTCCCTGGGGCTTGGGCTCTGTCACCTTCAGCGAGGCCTTCCTTAACCTCACTACATAAAGCAACACCCCCACCCATTGCTCTCTGTCCCCCTTACCCTTCCACTTTGGTTTTCTTTGCAGCATTTATGGTCTGTTGA